CAAAACTCGGCAACAACAGGTTCAACACGCTTTGACCGGGTTGAACCAATTTTTTAACAAAATTCACACTTCACCCAACATGCCAATTAAAAAAGCGAATAAAAGTCACTCCCAGTAAAAAAAATTGTAAATATTGGGTTCAAGTCGTTTTGATCAGATGAATTAGATTGGATACCTTGGGTTTAAGTTCGATTGTCATTCTCAACTAAAGGGAAAAGATAAAACTCACTCCCAATAAAAAAATCTCGACGTTGAGTTCAACCCGCTTTGACTTGGTCGAAGCAAATTTTTAAAGAATTCACACTCGACCAAACATGTCAATTATAAAAACAGATCAAACTCACTCTCAATCATAGTTAATAAAATACGGTATGGGAAAGTTACGTATAACATACATACGGGTATTTTACTTCGTTTTCAAGCTAATGTTACGTTTAATAGTACGTTGATAGTTATATGTATATATATATAATTATTTATTTTAAAAATAAATAAATGTATAAATAATTGTAAAATTAACAATTTAATTCATTAATATGGATATTAAACGTGTTATACGGATTTTATACGTGTTTAGTATGGAAGCCATCAAATGAACAGAACAAAATGAAATGGCTTGACAATAATACGGATACAGAAGTTTTAAATGGATAAAATACGTACGGGGAAATATACGTGTATTAAACAGAGTATTTACTAACTATTTCTCAACAAAAAGGGAAAAGAGAAAGTTAAAAATACTACAGTTAGGTTAAAGTCGCTTTGACCTAGGCGAAATAGGATGGCCACATGGGTTTGTGTTCAATTCTCGCGTTCAACCAAAAGAAAAAATAGAAATAGAAAAACACCAAAGTAAATGAAACTCGGTCCCCATACAAAACTGGTAAACATAGAGTAAATACGATATAGATTTTAGATAGCAGCTTTGGGAAACTCTGGAGGGATACAACTTAGGATTCCACCGACAATGTTTCAAATGTGGGTTGTTAATTGGTGGGTGAATGCGAGGATTGTACAGACGATATATGGTATGGATCTTCACTAGTGGTTGTGGCAAACGGTGGAAGGGGACAACTTAGATTTCTGCCAACAATGTTTCGAGACGGCTGCGAATTGTTGGGTGAAAGCGATGATTTGGCCAAAATGGCATAGATGATAGACAATCGATGTAGACTTAACGGACAATAGTTAAACATAGAGGATGTAAAATGAGAGAGCTGGGTAAAAAAAGACACTTGAGAGAGATTTGAGTACATGGACATTAGATTGGGAAAAGCTAATGGACATAAGTTAAAACAAATGGTATGAAATGAGAGAGTGGGGTAATAAGAGGTTCTCCAAATTTTAGAGATTCAGGAGAAGGATATGTGAGTGAATAAATCAAACAAATAAAGGTTGCCCATAAAAGCCAAACATGGTAATTACTATTCATTAGTGGCCTCACACTCCTCCAAGTGCAAGTGGAAAATTTCCAAGTCCTTTTACCCCACTCTCCATTCTACAACCTTTGTGTTTAGTTATTGTTTGCTAGGTTTTCGTCTATAATTTTTTGCACAAATCATCGCCTTTCTGTTTAGTTATTGTTTGCTAGGTTTTTGTCTATGCCTTTTTGCACAAACATTGCGTTTGTCCACCATTTTGCAGCCCATCTTGAAATACTACCGGTGGAATCCTAAGTTGTTCCCCACCAGCGTTTCTCAAGGAAGCCAAACATGGGAGGTACTATTTATTAGTGGCTCTCACACTCCTTCAAGTGCAAGTGGGGAAGTTCCAAATCCTTCTTTTACCCCACTCTCCATACAACCTTTGTGTTTCGATATGGCTGCGAATTGGTGGGTGAAGGCGATTGATTTGGGCAAAATGGCATAGACGATGGACAATAGATATAGACTCAACGGACAATAGTTAAACATAGAGGATGTATAATGAAAGAGTTGGGTAAAAAAAGACACTTGGGAGAGATTTGAGTACATGGACATTAGATTGGGAAAAGCTAATGGACAAAAGTTAAAACAAATGGTATGAATTGAGAGAGGGGGTAATAGGAGGTTCTCCAAATTTTAGAGATTTAGGAGAAGGATATGTGAGTGAAGAAATCAAACAAATAAAGGTTGCCCATTTGCACTTGGAGGAGTTTGGAGGCCACTAATGAATAGTAACTTCAATGTTAGGCTTTTATATATTAATAACTAATAATAGGTTGAAAGTTCACACTCCGTGCGGGGTGTTCAATTCCAACTGTTATTAATGTTTTTGTTTCTGGAAATAAGAAAGATTATGTTAAACAAAAAAAAAAAAAAAACAGAAACTCACAAAGTAAACTTTGCAATCGCATAAATCGATATACAAAACAGTATAACCTAATATCAGTTCAAAAAAGAGTTTTTCAGTCACATAATATCAAAGCTATTGAGATCTCATATTTGAAAATTGAATTCTATGCAAAAAATATATATTTATTCTAGTCGAGAAACTCACAATGATTGTCAATCACTAAGGGCTCGAAAATAAAAAAACGCATCGTTGAAATATGCATGATAATCATTCAAGTAGGTTGAATAAGACGCAAAATTAGACACTCCTTATCTATCAGTTCAAGTAGTACCCATGATAATCGTTCAAATGTGCATGATAATCTTATTACTTTGATCGAGTCTATTAGTATATTGGAAAGTACAAATGCCCATGTTGTACACAAACATCTCCTTTTCTTTCAAACAAATATAGTACCCAAACCATCGTTCAAATTCATTTCCTATATTTTAAAAATCATTCATAAAAAACAAACATAGATAAATCGGGAAGGAAATAATATCCTACCCGTTCAAGTCGATGAACCTTATATGAAGATAGAAACTCATTGAAGTTGAAACCTAATAACAAAAACAGGAGAAATGATGCATGAGATCCACCAAGCTTTAAACATCGTATCAGGCAATAAGATCAAAAGAAATAGATATTCTGCATGTTCTGCTCATCAAACAACGTGAAAATTAAAGTCGTTTTGTTATTAATCAGAAAGATAAAACCATGAGAAATAGAGAAGAAATGAATCACTTACATGTGCAAAGCGATTAACCTTGGGCGAAAACCTATGAAAAGTCAATGCCCGGTATAGGAAGAGGAGTAAAGACGAAAGATATAACTGATCAAACATTGTCTTCTACTATAGAAGCAGCAAAATAGTTCTTCTGGTAGTACATCGAGGAGAGACAGAACCATTGGGTGATGCCAGTGCAGAGGAATCGAGCGAGATAATCAAGTCCAGACCGTAACTACTTGATTGAACTCCATTCTGTTCGCCATGGATTGACATGAGAGTTGAAATCTTCTACTTGCCCATATTAAATCCCCAAGAATAAAACTGCAGTGCCAAGAGATACTGGAATATTAATTTTCAAATGTGCCCTTACACTGGGAAGTGAAAGCACGCAAACTATTGCACGATGGAGGGAATTTCGAAGAAAATTAGAAAGAGATATGAACAAAGATAAAAAGCACAAAATTTAAATTTATAATCAAAATGCAAGGATACAACGCGTAGTAAAGGAAATAGTTTCTTCCATGTTAGCCAATTACCAATTTACCTTTAGCGAAAATTAAGGAGAGAGCATGAATTTTAAAAAGGATAATATTACATGAAACTCTACTATGAAAATTGAAGTATTAAGCATCATTAAAATACATACGGTAGACTTAGTGCGCTTGTTAATCATGATGCAAAAGTACTCTGCTTTTCGCAGTTTCAATACATGTATGTTTTGTATTAAAAAGGAACAACAAATATATTTAGTATAATTGGTTATGATTACTATCTTTGTTTGAAGAGACTTGGGTTCAAGTCTTGATATTTATGTTTTTTTATATGAAATGAATAATTAATTGTAAATGCAAAAATATTCTTCCTACTTTCACTCTCGTTGCAGAAAATTTGAAATGGAGAAAAGTACACAAAACTCTAATATATATTATTGGAGGATTTTTATATGAAATAAATAATTGATTGTAAATGCAAAAATATCCTTCCTACTTTCACTCTCGTTGCAGAAAATTTGAGATGGAGAAAAGTTTACAAAACTCTACTATATATTATTGGAGGATAGTTTAAGCCTAAACGCAGTGGATTTTTATAGGAACTGATTAATGACACCTATTCTAAAAAGAACGTTCCAATGTTTGTTACATACTGTTTGGTACCAAATGAATCGAGAATTATTTTCATTGTAAAATGAATTACCGTGTTGAATTCATTGTCAAATGAAATCCTATATTTGGTATGTTATATTTAAATCTTAAAAAAAATGAAGTGTCGTGTAGAATTCATTGTCAAATGAATTCTTGCGTTTGGTATGTCATATGTATAAGTAATTTAGTTAATAAAAGAGGATAATCATGTCATTCTATTATAATTAATAAATACTTGTGGAATTCATTTGGAAATTCCAATCTCAATTCCTCGGAATTGTTATAACTAGTTCTAATTCCGTAGAATTCAAAATTTAGAATTGAGAATGAATAATTTTTAATACCAAATATTTCATTTCAAAGTGAATTCTTTAAAACTTATGAAATTCATTTATACCAGATATGTAAATGTTGGAATTTATAAGTTGATTCACAGATTGGTAGCAAGCTTTCAGCTTCATAGGAAACCTCTATTCATCTGACCATCTCGAGAAGAAGTTGCCACTCTCCTTCCTTTGCTTGAGGGTAAAGGAAAAGGCAATCTGCAACTCTAAATTCATCGTTTGGTTGTTAAGAAACATAGTTTAATACCTAATGCTTGACATGGGAGAAGTCTAGTCTTCTTATTTTAATCAGAAATTCCCACTCCCAAGCCTTTTCCCCTTCTATTTAAAACTCGCTGGTTCTTTGGAAGCACCAAAGCAAAACTCAATGAAACAGAGAGGAAGAGAAACAGAGAGGCTAACCCAATCCAACTACTAAGCTCATTTCTCACATCACAAGTAACTCAATCACTTCTCTTAAATTCCAGAGATATGGAATTCCACGCATCAACTGACTTTGAGGAGTATCCACTTCCTCCTAGAGTCTTTTTCACTCCACACCACGGTTCTGCATCCGATCCCCAACAGGTCCACATATCAATTGGTGGGATCGACCGCATTAGAGTCACCTGGATAACCGATGACAAAACTGTCCCTTCCACCGTCGAATATGGCACCGAACCGGGAACTTACCTCTCCAAGGCCAGCGGGGACAACAACAGTTCGTACAAGTTCTTACCCTATACCTCTGGTTCCATCCACCATGTGAGCACTGGACCCTTGGAACCCAACACCACTTACTACTACAGATGCGGCGGCCACGGCCCTGAATTCTCCTTCAAAACCCCTCCCTCAACTCTCCCTCTCGAAATCGCCATCGTCGGTAAGTCAAATCTTTCCGACGAATTGCATATCATATCCCAACAAATAAAAATTCCATATATCAAACCATCATTACTCTGTTTGATGGATGCAGGGGATTTGGGCAAAGCGACTGGACAAAGTCAACACTGCAAGGACTCGGAAGCAAGGACTACGACTTGCTGTTGCTCCCAGGGGATTTGTCTTACGCCAACAACAGGCAGCCTCTGTGGGACTCATTCGGCGGGCTGGTGGAGCCGGTGGCCAGCCGGCGTCCGTGGATGGTGACTCAGGGAAACCACGACATGGAGAGCTATCTGGTCGACGAGGCAGAGTCCTTCATGGCATACAATGCCAGGTGGCTAATGCCATATAAGCAGAGCGGGTCCACCTCTAACCTCTACTACTCGTTCGACGTGGCTGGAGGAGTCCACATCATCATGTTGGGTTCCTGTACCGAATTCGAACTCGGGTCGGACCAGTACAAGTGGCTTGTGGCTGATTTGGATGCGATTGATCGGAAAGCGACCCCGTGGGTTATCGTTTCGGTGCACATGCCGTGGTACAATACGAACTACGAGCATCAAGGGGATGGGGAAGGGATGAGGCTAGCCATGGAAGAGCTGCTTTATAGGGCTAGAGTGGACGTTGTCTTTGCTGGCCATGTTCATGCCTACGAAAGATTCGTAAGTCTTTATTGAAATTGGCAATCAGGAACATATTCTACATACTCAATGGGAATAATAATCTTGTTTAATGTCTGGGATTTGGGTGCAGACTAGGATATACGACAATGAGGCTTATCCATCGGGTCCGATCTACATTACAATTGGGACTGGCGGGTTCCAGGGAGGAATTGAACTATCGTAAGGAGAACTGTTATTATCTCTTACGAAATAACTATTTTGGGTCAGAAGTTTGAAAACTTAAACTGTTGGATTTTTGGTTGTGAATCTAATTGAAGGTTTAAGGAGCCGAAACCAGCATTGTCGATGCATCGGGACGCGAGATTTGGGCATGGGCGGCTGAGGATTTTGGATGCGAAGCGAGCGCATTGGTCGTGGCATCCGAATGACTCCGATGTGGCTGAAGATGAGGTGTGGTTGACCTGTTTAGCAGCAGCTCCTGAGGATGAGTCGTGATGCAGAAACGAATGACAAGCTCGACAGATTTATTTGTTTTGCTGCAACTGATTTAGCAGCTCCCCCGAACTTTGAAATATCATTTTGGTTCCTCAACATCCAAAAGAAATGTAGTTTCCACTTACTTTTTAGTGAACCCTACTCATGTTTTGCATTGGAGGAAACGGGTTCCTCCTAAGTTTTTCTTCTAAAATTTAACGAGTTATATCTTTTGCATTTTAATTAGAAGTTCAAAAAATATGTATACAAAAAATTCAGATTAATCATACTCTTTAAAATGAAAAATAATTTGATGTATTTTTTAACACAAAAAAATAAAGACGGTAATATTATATTATATGGTGGTAGGTAAATGTATCATGGTAGTATGAATATATCATAATGTGGTATATGGTGGTACATTTGGTTCTCAATTTTTTTACCAAAATATTATCAAATTGTATAGATCATCACGATGAACGTGTTTCTTGTGTGCATAATTTTTCAAATTTTGAGATAAAAATAAAGAGGGTATGGACTACGGAGTGCTGTCAGGTGGTAATGAGTGGTTAGAAAAAGTGGGTGAGGGAAGGGTTTGGCCACAATGGGGAGAGGGAAATATGATATTTAGTATGTTATTTTTTTTGGTAAAATCAATATAGATTTGATCTCATCACTTTATTTTAATAACTTGATCATTGATTTTACATACATAGTAATAACTAATTATGAAAAATATTTCGATATAGTATTTTTAATTTGGACATAATTTTTTTATCACTAATTAAATATGACACCATCAATGATGAAATCACAATAATTTGCAGAAGACAATGACTCATCACATATTTCACAGAATAATTGGTGCCATCAAATTTTTTTGCCAACTTTAATCATATTGAGTGGTAAAATCAATTATTCATCCAACTTTAATCATATAGAATGACATGTGTCATCAACTAATCATGCGACTTTAATCATATTGAGTGGAGTCATCAACTGTTTATGCAACTAAAATCATGTTGAGTGGTGCCATCGACTGTTCATCCAATTGTAATCACATTATTGCTGGAGAATCTTTTCGCGTTTCTATAAATGTAGGCCAAACGTTGTCAATCTATTCATCACAACATTCAACCTTGTTTATTCTCTCTACTTTGTATTTCTCTTTACACACCCAAACCTCTTTTTGCATCATGACTTCCTCTAGTACAGAAGTTGATGAGAGGCAGCATGAAACTGATGACAGGGATTTGGAGTATGAGTGCTAGCTTGAACGTGATCGTCAACAATTGATGGGACGGCAGGAGCTTTCTTCTTCCAAGAGCAAGCACCATCATATTGGCATAGTTGACATCCACGTAAATCAGTGAGGCGTAATAGGATAGAAGCACACCAACGATGCTAGGCTCTTTAGAAGCATTATTAATAGGGTTAATACCTTGTTATGCCCTGAACTATGACCATGTAATCAACTTTGGCCAGTGGTTTGAGAAATTAACATCCTGGCCCGAACTATGCAGCATATAGACAAAATTGGCCTGGAGCGTGGTTTGACCGTTTGTTTGGACGGTCAACACCGTTGACCGTTAGTCAACTGTCCAGGTCACTGCCATGTCAGCATAAAAAATTATAATTTTATTTTTCTTTTTATTTCATTTACAAAATTGAATAATTAAAAAAAAAAAACAAAAACAAAAACTTTTGGCCCACCCATCCCCACCTTATCCCCTCACCTTCTTTCCTTTTCTATCAAACCCAAACAAAATGCTGGACGAGAAAGTAGTATTGGACGCGGCGAAGCAAGGGGCGAAGAGTTTGGGGAAGGCGGTCGCCCCGATAGCCACCCAACATGTCAAAATGTTGTTCGGAGTCAACAAGGGGCGAAGAGTTTGGGGAAGGCGGTCGCCCCGAGGCCGTGTTGAAAGACGCGGCGGCGACGGCGGGGGGAGGAGGAGGAGGGCTCAGCTACCAAGACGGCGAGTGGGTCGACAACCTGGCGCGTATGAGGGACGAGGCAGCGGATCTGCTGAAGAGCTACTCGGAGAGGAAGCGGCGGCACGACGCCATCATGAACCGGCGGTTCAACTACGTCAGCTTGGCCAACTACGCGGTGTCGGTTCCTGGGTACTGGGTGGAGAACCACTTCGCGGCTCTGAAGGTGAGCAAGATCAGGGAGAGGCTGGATGCACCATAAAAGACAGAATTGAGAATTCACAAACCCTAATTAGTCCAATTTAATCGATGATCGAGAGAAGGGGACAGGCAGGCAGACCTTCGGTGGCGGTGTCCTGCTGGGCCTCGCAGACGATGGAGGAGCAACGGGGTGGAGTGGGGGTGAGGGATCGGAAGGAGCGAGCCGGGTATGCGAGTTTGAGACCTCTGGCGGTGGGGAAAGGGAGGGATTGAGGGCATGGAGATAGAAAGGAAGAAGCGGTGCCGCCAAGGCAGGAGGAAGAAGGTCTGAGAAGAGAAGAAGAGGGGCGAGGGACGACGACGGATTCGAGAACGGCGGTGGCCATGGGGAGAAATCGCCGGACGGGATGAGGGATCTGAGGAGTGAGAGAGGAGGCGGCTCGTCGGGGAAGAAGGAGGAAGAAGATAGAAGATAGGGTTTGTTTGGGTTTGATCGAAAGGAAAGAAGGTGAGGGGATAAGGTGGGGATGGGTGGGCCAAAAGTTTTTTTTTGTTTTTTTTTTAATTATTCAATTTTGTAAATGAAATAAAAAGAAAAATTAAATTATAATTTTTTTATGCTGACATGGCAGTGACCTCGACAGTTGACTAACGGTCAACGGTGTTGACCGTCCAAACAAACGGTCAAACCACGCTCCAGGCCAATTTTGTCTATATGCTGCATAGTTCGGGCCAGGATGTTAATTTCGCAAACCACTGGCCAAAGTTGATTACATGGTCATAGTTCAGACCATAACAAGGTATTAACCCTTATTAATAAGCTTCATGAAGCTATACATATGTATGTGCAATTTGCAGGATGTTTATATATGATTAGGTATAGTTCTTACGTAGATGAAGCCATTAAATATAAACAAAATTTTGATAATGGGTACAACTTTTTTCATATGATCTACTATTTAATTTCAATAGTTAACATAACTTGCAAGAAAAAAAAATTTAATTAATAAAATTAATATTAAGACACAATTAAATTATTTTAATATTAAATCATACATAAAATAAAATATCTGCATTAAATTTTCAATCTACTCTTTTCCTTCATCTTTTCCTCCTCACTTTCCCTGAAAAACAACATTTTCCTTATCATTTCTTTCCTCGCAAATTTTCCTTCTCCTCCTCATTTCCTTCCCCTCTTTAGAAACAAAGTGTTAGAGGTCAGCAGGTTTTGCACATATAATACCAAGGATCATCATCGGTGGTCTAAAATCCCAAATAATAGAGGGGACTCAACTCGCAATTAGATGAACCAAAATATCGATCGCGAAATTTAGCCCATAACTTGTCTAAGCCTTCCAGGAACAACCTTCTCCATTGTCTTCATTCTTTCACGTAATCTTTCCAACTATTTTTTCTCCTCTTCTTTATATAATCCCCTGATTACTCGTTGGGCATACAATTCCACAATAAGCGGCCCAATACCTTTCTCACAACTTCATTAACACCACACAATACATCCCCTACTCATCACCTAAAAAATCAAGGAAGAAATTTACTTTGTTATCCTGCATGGCGCCACCCTAGCAAAATTCATCATTGTTGATTAACCCACCATCGGTGTAAATTATGAAAACTCCATGGTCCAGAGTTATCCAATATTGACAGTAGGAGATAGAGGCATGCATATTTATATATATCTTCTTTTGAGAATTTAAATAGTCAATGAACCAACAAGCCTCCCTCCGAGCAAATTAACCCTCTTTGAGCTTGAGTTATTTTTCCTTTGATTATTTTGTGTTGAGAATGATAGACGTTTGTGACAATTATGCTTCTAAAAGGTGATTTTACGCTAGGTTTCTTGTGTTTTAGCATGTTTCAGGATTTAACAGGTAAAAGCAGCCCCAGAGTCAAAAGTTGGACGAAAAGAGCGAAAATCGGGAGAAGAGGTGAAAAACCGGCAGTTCACGGTTTCCCTTGGGAGTTCACAGTCTGTTAAGACCGTGAAGAGGAGGCATTGGCCGTGAACATCGAGGCGTCCAGGGCATTTTCAGAAGTTACTGACGCTAGGCAAGTTCACGGTCACTAAGACCGTGAACTGGAGCTGTTGCCCGTGAACTTGTACAAGTGAAGCGGTGCGTTTCGTCGCCAACCTTGAGTTCACGAACGCGTTCAAGAGTTCACGACCGTGAATTGAGCCTAATCCCTGTTTAAAAGGAGAGCTGAAAGGAAGAAAGAAGAGGGAGCCGAAGAGTGAGAAAATATCTTCTTCTTCAGATTTTAGAGAGAGAAAGAACGAACCAAGGAAGAAAGAAGGCTAGGGTTTGCTCCAAGTGGTGAATTAGGAAGATTCGCCCCAGGAGAAGATCAACATAAGCTCAAAGGAGATTAGAAGCATCACCATGATGGTTTCTACCTCTTCCTCTTGTGTTTCTCCCCTTTCTAGCATGGAATAGTTTCCTTTTTCACTTGGGTGTTGTGAAACCCTAACTATTTACCATGTAGTTTTTGTGTGAATTGAATGATTGTTTATGGGTGTTGTTTAATTCAATGATTGAGTTATTTTTCATGTTGATTGTGCATGTTTGTGCTTAGCAATCTAATTGGCCATTCTAATCTAGATTAGAGGAGAAACCCCCCTTCAAGGGAGGCTCAATTGAGTTGGGATTCCTAGGGCTTTTAAAGCCACCTATCTAGGTTAATATAGGGCAACCCTCTATGTTGAATTAAGCAATTTGGTTTGAGTGAGAGAGTAAGTCAACCATCGATTGCCTTAACTAGACCTGGCAATCGAGTCAGGTTGGGTAATTTCGGGTTGGGAATCTCAGGTTACGGGTCTTCACGGGTCGGTTCATGATGGGTTTGCTGATTTTGGGTCAAATATTAAC